CGGCAGACGACAGATGTGTGCCTGCTTCTCAGCTCTACGTTACCTTGTTGTTACCGATCTTCTTCTTATGCTTTTATTATTATTATATTATATTACTACTACTATATGTGCTCACTGACACAAGACCCAGTTACACAAGAATAGTTGATTGACCAGGTGTGAGTATTAATAGCAATTGAATTGTTGGGTTAATATTGAAAACAATGATGAAAACAATAGAAGACGAAGAAGAAGAAGAAGAAGAAGAAAATGGGGATGATGATGTTGTTGATGATGGTGATGAGGATGATGACGATGACGATGACGATGACGATGGCGATGACGGTGACGGTGACGGTGATGATGATGATGATGATGATGATGATGATGATGATGATGATGATGATAACACTGACGACGACAACAACCAATAACAAAAAAAATAAAAACAACAATAACAAAACCGCATCGGACAACCGCAGGGCTCCACCTGCCCACCGACTCCACCCCCAAAACCTAACATCCGCGTTTCTTAACGACGCTCTATCTTCTCTCTGTAGTGAACGGGGAGTGGACGGCCTGGGAGCGCTGGGGCGATTGCACCGTCAGCTGTAATGGAGGAATTCGCAGACGATTTCGTAGCTGCAGCGATCCGCCGCCAGCCCACGGCGGTCACGCATGCGCAGGAGACGCACAGGACCTGGAGATGTGTAACAAGGCTGCGTGCCCCGGTGAGATATCCTGTAATACACACACGCGCACGCACGCACACACACATGCGCACACGCACACGCACGCACGCATGCGCAGGAGATGCGCAGGACCTGGAAATGTGTAACAAGGCTGCGTGCCCCGGTGAGATATCCTATAATACACACACGCAGACACACGCACACGCGCACACACGCACACACACGCACGCACACACGCACGCATGCACGCACGCATGCGCAGGATACGCGCAGGACCTGGAGATGTGTAACAAGGCTGCGTGCCCCGGTGAGATATCCTATAATACACACACACACACACACACACACACACACACGCACGCACACATACACGCGCACACACACGCGCACGCACACGCACACGGATGCACACACACAGACACACGAACACTCACGCACGCATGCGCAGGCGACGCACAGGACCTGGCAATGTGTAACAAGGCTGCGTGCCCCGGTGAGATATCATATAATACACACACGCACGCACACACACATGCGCACACGCACACACACAGACACACACACAGACGCACGCACACGCACGCATGCGCAGGAGATGCACAGGAACTGGAGATGTGTAACAAGGCTGCGTGCCCCGGTGAGATATCCTATAATACACACACGCACACACACACACATACACATATATATGTATAACCACAGATATCGTCTAATAGACACATATATAGAATTGAGTAGATAGCTATGACCGTGAAGTTCCCTTGGCCAGGTGGGCCATAGCAAGCCTCCTTTGTTCTACCTCACGTGTGTTCGACAAGCATACCGTGCGCAGCTTTTGGACTCTATCTAATGTTACCTAAGAACTAATTTTTATACCTACTAATAAGTATAACACGGTAAGAAAATAAATTAAACGTTAGGATTAGGACTATTATGTCTAATCAACATTCTAACAACGCCCCTGAGTCTACCCTGCCGCTGTGCTGCCTCTAAGCAGGGGCGTAGCTACGGNGTCGATCACCTTTTCCCCCTCTTGCCCTCCCCAACACTATCCCTTCCTAACTTCTTCCCCTATTTCACCTTCCCCATCTCGCACCTCTCGTTTTATGCAACTTCCTTTCTCTCTTCATCAGGCATACCATCGCAGGTAAGAGGCACCGTGCGTGGCCGCATCAACGGTGTGCCATTCGGACCATCGAAGCTTTCAGCTCAGGTCATCAAGGCGAGGAGCAAGGTTGCCATCAGCGCCAACATCAACCGCATACCCAAGGACATCGGTAGGTCACGCACGACAACATTGCAGGCTGATGGTTACAGAGTTTGTGGTGATGTACCAACATATCTGGTAACGTTGCCATGACGACAACGTTGCAGACTGGTGGCTGCAGGCGAGTAATAGTGTAATAATAGATGCGTGAATGTTTCCATGGTGACCACATTGCAGGCTGGTGGCGGCAGAACGAGTTGTAGTGTACTAACAGATCAGGTAACGTTGCCATGGTGACCACATTGCAGTCTGCTGGTTGCAGAGCGAGTTGTAATGTATTAACGGATGCGTTAATGTTTCCATGGTGACCACATTGCAGGCTGGTTGCTGCAGGGCGAGTAGTAGTGTTATAACGGATGCGTTACCATGGTGACCACATTGCAGGCTGGTTGCTGCAGGGCGAGTAGTAGTGTTATAACGGATGCGTTGCCATGGTGACCACATTGCAGGCTGGTTGCTGCAGAGTGAGTAGTAGTATTATAACGGATGCGTTGCCATGGTGACCACATTGCAGGCTGGTGGCTGCAGAGTGAGTCCCAATGCATCTCTCATATCTCCTCGCTGTAGTGGAGCACACGGGCGTGGAGATGGACCAGGCCAGTGAACGGACACAAGCGGCAGGGAGAGGAAGAGATAATTGTCTAAAATGTTAATTAAATGATTGCCCAAGAAATTGCACAATTTGTTAGCCGAATTGATATTAAATAAATTAATCTGGCGGAAAACCGTGTATTTTGGTGCACAGTGACGTGCGTGTCTCGCCGTGCGGTGTAACTTGTGCTACTTAGTTGAGTTAACAGATGAGCAAGATTCCTGAATGCGACATATTACGAAGGAAAATTATCGCGAAGAAATCTTATCGCGCGAAAAGAGCATAGCAAGCCGAAACATCATGAAAAAAACTTTGTAGTAAATCAATTCCGTGTTTAAATTTACAATAATTTTATTATTAACAAACGTCTATAGCCACAGGTAGTTCGCGCGAGCGGAGCGCTGCACCAGGCGAGGGTGTCGGCGGTGGGCACGCCGCCAGTGTGGATCGATGGTGGTAATCCATGCAAATTGAATAGCAACGAATTATGTTCAAACAGGTAAGAAGAGTGGGTTGGATGGCGTTGTGGATAGGACTGAGAGGAGGGACGCAAGACACTAGACATTATTGTAACACCACACTCAACACACCCCTACGACTTCACTACACGAAGTGCCATATGCTAGAATTATAATGTAGTGTTTAGTTATTCGTTCACACACCTATCTATCTACATGATCTACTTATATAAATAAATAAATTTATTTATTTACTTTATTAATATTATTCATAGTCATACATCATTTACAATCATCCACATCATACATTCACACATGTCATTCATTTATTTGTTTTGTTTTATTTAATTTTTATTTGCTTTAATTATTTATTAAGTTTTATTTATTCTTAGTAGATCTATCAATAAGTGAGAGCGGTACGGGAGCAAGGCGTACACCCGGGTAGTTGTTACCGGCGTGTTTAGTATGCCGCAGGAGAACCGCTTGACCTATTATATTAATTCATTTACTTACATTTATTATTTATTTATTATCGTTATTTAAATTATTTAATTTTATTGTATTTTTTTTATTTTATTTAATCCTATTCAAAAAATGTTTATTTATTTTTATTTATTATTTTATATATAACGTTAGAGACACTACTAAGTAAGTAACTAACAATGTAGTATAAGGTTATATATAAGTAGAACTCTAAGTAAACTAACTAACTATGTAGTATAGGGCGTCTACACCGTGTTGTTGCCGTGTGTGTTCGCAGGAGAGCGCTTGACCATCACGTCGACAGCTCAGGGAATCAACGACGACGGTCAGCTACAGGTGGACATAGAGGTGGACGGACGTGTGCCGACACTACCGACCGGCGTCGTCCTGCTGCGGCCATTCACAGAGGACTATGTGCAGAGTGGAGAAGGTATAGGGACCTGTCAGAGGGGAAACATTGCACGATGATGTAGAATGTGTGTGTGTGCGGTTCCAGCAAGACTAGAGAAGATAGGGCTGCCACCATACTGGAAACATTAAAGAAGGGTTCGAAGGAGGTTCCAGCAAGACTATAGAGAATGAATTTGTTTTCTTTCTTTTTTTTCGTTCTTTTAATCGCACCTTGTATATCAACACCTGTTGTCGAAACGAGAGTAAACTATATAGTCTACAAGAAGCCTATAAAATTTTACTTATTAAAAGTTCTTATTTATAGTTATGAATTATTACTAATTAGAAATAATTAATAACTAGCAATTCATAACAGTGGTAGTAGTAGTAATAATCATAATGATAATAATAATAATAATTATTATTATTGCTATCATCATTATTGTTATATAATTTTTTATTCATCTTAATTTTTATCAACAATAACAATTATTAATTATCAAGAACCATTCTTAATCACCCCATAATTATTCATCATCATCTTCATTACTAATTACCATTCATTGTTACTAGGTTCGCTATACGGGTATTCGTCACGGAGCTTCCAAGTGAACGGCTACATGCTGCCGTACGCGTGGAACCACACGGTAACGTACGATGCGGACGCTGGTAGGCTGCCTTTCCTCGTGCAGAGTCTGTTCACGACCAACCTGCGCGTGCACTACGGTCGTGGCCACCGCAAGCTGAAGATCCGTGCAGCGGCAGCCATCAGGAAAGGTGAGCGCGGGGAGGGGAAGGCTGAGGCTGAGTGGGAGGAGGAGGAGGAGGGGGATGAGGAGGAGGAGGGGGATGAGGAGGAGGGGAAGGATGAGAAGGAGGGGGAGGGGAAGAATGAGGAGGAGGAGGGCGATGAGGTGAAGAAAGAGGAGGAGGAGAAGGAGGAGGTGAAGCAGGGGGAAGAGGAGGAGGAGGGGGAGAAGGAGGAGGAGGAGGAGGAGGAGAAGGAGGAGGTGAGGAAGGGGGAAGAGGAGGAGGAGGGGGATGAGGTGGAGAAAGAGGAGGAGGAGAAGGAGGAGGTGAAGGAGGGGGAAGAGGTGGAGAAGGACGATAAGGAGTAAGTGAAGGCAGAGGAAGAGGACAAAGGAAATGGAATTGAGGAGGGCGGAGAAAAAGGAAGAGAAGCAAGATAAGGAAGGGGTAAAGGGGCAATGAGGAGTAAGAAGAAGAGGATAAGGAGTAGGAGGGGAAGGATGACGATGACGATGAGGAGGAGATGGAGGAAGAGGAGAAAGGAGACGGTACGGAAAACAAAGAGGGGGAGGGGGGGTAAGACTAGAAGCAGCGTAGAAGAAAAAGGAAAAGTGAGCGAGGGAGAGGAAAATGAAATATACGAGAGTGAGCTGAGAGGTAAGGAAGGGGATCAAAACGAAATAAGGAGGACAACAAAGAGGTAGAGAAAGAGGAGAATTTATATGATTGTATATCCGTATTCTTCCTTTCTATCCGTGTTATATACTTCTTGCAGGAGAACCCAGCAATAGATGTCCAGAGGGCTTTACACTGGACGAGAGCGGACCTTTCTGTTTGGACGATGACGAGTGTGTACGCATGCAGCCCTGTGCACACGTCTGTAACAACGTGCTTGGAAGTTACTACTGCTCCTGCCCGGATGGCATGACGCTAGGACCGGACGGAAAATCTTGCCAGGGTATACTATATCTCCTTGAATACCCAGATAACATGCTGACGTTGGGCCAAAGTTGGGCCAACGGCTGTCTTCAGCCCATGCCAACATTGGCCCAACGGATTTTTGCTCAGCGCGCCAACGTTGGCCCAACGTTGGTAGCAAACGTCATATTGCCAACCGTGACCGTGCCAACCAAATGCCAACGTTCGCCCAACGTAAGCATGTTATCTGAGTACGTTCATTCGGTTGGTTCATAATAGAGATAACTTGGTTGATTTCTACTCAACCGTGAGGTAGAGTTAGCCTGTCTGTATACCTGTATTATATCTGTCGGAGCATTTGGTTGTTTTAGTCAGCTCTGGGTGAACTGATGAATGTTGCTGATGCTGTTTGTGTCGCTGCTGCTGCTGTTGTTGTCGCTGTTATCGTTGTTATATCATTATAGTCGTCGTTGTTATTGCTGCTGCTGCTGTTTCTGTTGTTGTTGTTGTTGTTGTTGTTGTTGTTGCTGCTACTGTTGTTGTTGTTGTTGTTGTTGTTGTTGTTGGTGGTGTTATTGTTGTTGCTGCTTGCTGTTATTGTTGTTGTTGTTGTTATCATCGTGTGTGCGTGTGTATGTATACATACATATATGACATAACTAGCCTAACATGTCTTGGTGTGTAATCGTCATGTTGTTATGTGTGTTTAACTGTTCATGCTTACAAGGACGGGACCAGCATTTACGGAGCCACGATTCAGGATCAAGCTGCAGCTGTAGGTATACGTGCCTGTGCGTGCGTGCGTGTGAGCGTGCGTACGTACGTGCGTGTGTGTGTACGTGCGTGCGTGTGTGCGTGTGTGCGTGCGTGTACGCGTACGTACCTGGGAGCGTGCGTGCGCGTGAGCGCGTGTGTGTGCCTACATGCGTGCTTACGTACGTACGTGTGTGCGTGGGTCTGCGTGTGTGTGTGCGTGCGTGCGTGCGTGCGTCGCGAAGTAGACTTCTGCACGGAGTGGAGTCTAGCTACCTCGTTCTTCCTGGTTGCCAAGGTTGAATCTAACTCTCTCTTCCTTGCAGACTTGGACGAATGCCAGCTGGGCATGATGACGTGTGCTGAGGGTGAGGAGTGTGTAAACACCATCGGTTCTTACCAGTGTGTGCAGCCGTGTGGGAGAGAGTGAGCGAGAGAACAAAGAGCCGCAGACGCGCTCGGGCCTACATCTGATGGTTCTTGTGCTACGCGTTGATAAAACGTAACATTTTCAAGTTGTGGCGTAGTGCACCTTTGTTAGGAGCCAGATATGCCAAGATGACGTCAGTTGCGTACACAGATTTCAGGCAACCTTCTGCATTCTGCCATAAACGTACCCAAATCCCATTGGTTGCATCACAAATTCGAGCCGCTGCCTGAAACTTAGATGGCTCTTTATGGTGCATTGTGACCCTAGACCCTATTAAAAAAAAACAACAAAATCAGGCTAGCGCCAGTGATTAGTGTGATCCGAATAGTCCAAGAACGGCTACAGCATTTGCGCCTCCTGTGTTTATTGGTAGGCAAAACTTGATGAGATAAATTAAGTCTGGAAATCCACTGAGCGCGTTCATCGCTGGGGTAATTATTTTGAGCTGCTAGTGACTTATTCCAAACATATTCATACATTGTAACACTACAGAATCTCAATAATATAACTCATCCTTCAAATTTAGTCTCCTAAGTACAGCTATGTTTCCAAGTAAGCAGTTATGTGTGCGAACCTTTTCGCCACTGTATACAAATGGGACGCGTTCAACAACATCAGGTAACTCGCAACGCAGTTGGAGAAAACAAAGATCAATGCTTTAACCTCCTTACAGGCTGCAATAGAGAAGCTGCCACCATGCTTACTAATTAACGCTTCACCGCGCAAAAATAGCACCATACTATTCACCACCACATGCACTGGCGGATGATTGGCCACTGGCCAGTGGCATATTAAACAACACACTGACAGTAACAAGGAAGTGCCATAGAATTATACGATGTTAAGGGAGCATAAACCTTCTTCAAGCAAATTTCTTAGCTTTTGAAAAATTTCACTGTGACATATGGGTAGCCTCCATACATCAGGGATGATATAGATAGTCTACTAGCAACCCACCCAGCAAGTCAAATTCTTTTCTAACCAACAGTAACAGTTAGGAGCGAGAATCCATGGTTTAAGAGGTGCCCTCCTCTTGAGGGTCAAGGTTATCAGGGACAGCGTTTATCTCTTCAGCAGTCAGCTGGAAAGCACGATGTCATGGTCCTTGTTTCAATACAAGCCATAAAAATGGTAGGTCACCGCTGAAACAAGAAAAGTTTTTTATGCAATTGCCTCCGTCAGACCATGTCCTCAGGAACACATGTCTAAAACCTCATGCCCTGTTGCCCAGTCGGACCTTTTAGACTGTGACCTCCAATATTTCAGCACAGTGATGGACTTTTCCTTACCATATGATGCTATTACAACGACTATCATCAAGCCTAGACGTCGGAGCCGTTAGATTTAGCTGCCGCAATTCTGCAATTTCTCGCCGCTTATACGCTTTCAAGCTTAAAGGCCTGTGAGATGGTTCCCTTGATTTTATGACACCGTCTGGACTTTGAACCTTTGACTCCCCGAAGGGCTTCGATCCATCCCAATCTCGATTACTCTGTGTGAATTACCCCACCCACGTCCCAGGCAATATCAGTGAGACCCGATACGATCGAGGCGGATTAAGATTATGTGCCCCCCCAACTGTGTTGATTACGGTCAACGGACGGCTACGGAGCACGGCTCCATTGCGACGGTGAAACGGAGATCCGCCCCGAGAATCATAGCGATATCGTACAAGCTAGCGATCTGACAATGTCAATATGAGCTACCAACTTATGAGAGACGAGGAGAGAGACTCACGCCGCGAGATCAGCGGAAGCCGAGCAGAGAGAGAGGAGATAGAGAGAGGAGAGAGAGCAAATAGCGAGAGGACAGAGAGGACCGAAGCACCCCCGAGAGATTAAGAAGAGAGAGAGAGCTGAGAGCGGAGGAGAAGAAGGAGAGAGAGCGACGGAAAGACGAGAGAGAAACTCGGGAGATAAGAGAGAGAGAAAGATGGAACAAGACCGGGAGAAGAGCGAGGACGAAGAGATGAGAGGGAGGAAGACTGAGATGGAGAGAGATGGATGAGAGAGAATAGATCGAGGAGGCGAGAGAGGAAGTGACGAGAAGGAGACGAGAAAGATGAGGAGCGGAGAGAGAGAAGAGAAGAGAGAGGAGAAGAGAACGAAAGAGAGAGAGAGACGAGAGAGAAAGAGAGAGAGAGCAGAGAGAAGAGGAAGAGGACGAGAGAGAGAGCGAGAGAGAGAGAGATAGAGTAGATAGGAGTGACTAAAACTCGAAGCAAGGGTTCACCGTGCTCATGAGCTTGCTAACATGGTTACATGGTGCAGCGGTTAGCTTACCGAATGCTGGTTGATGCATTCATGGTCGCATGCGCTCCGGCGTGTCCCTACCACTTCATTGATCATTACTGCTGACGTAAAATAAATAAATGAATTAAAATTAAATTAATTATTTAAAATAAATAAAGAAGTGAGTAAGTTAGTTAGATAAGTAAGTAAGTAAGTATAAGTAAGTAAGATTAAGTAAGTAAGTAAAGTAAGTAAGTAGTAAACTAAGTAAGTTAGTAAGTAAGTAAGTTAAGTTAGTAAGTAAGTAAGTAAGTAGAGCTAAGTAAAGTAAGTAAGTATAGTAAGTAAGTAAGTAGTAAGTGAAGTTAGTAAGTATAGTAAGTAAGTAAGTAGTAAGTAAGTAAGTAAAGTACATTAAGTAAGTAAGTAAATAAAAAAAATAAAAAAGAATAATATATATACATACAAGAGTGCATAAATAGAAAGTCTCTATTATGCACTCTTGTATCATCATGCTACCATATAATGTATATCTCTAAATGCCAGTAAAAAATCCCAAGGGGTGATTTACTTGCAACATATTTACGTTCAACGGATCGGACACTAATATGCCGCGCATCCATGTCGTGGAGAAGAAAGCTTACCGGCTTCGACTTATATATATATATATATATATATACAATACTATAGTAGACAAGTTCCTAGGTTGCAATCAATATTCAGTATATACTAGTCTTAAAAAAATAGAATAAATATCCGACATTTAGTTGCTACACATTAAGTGTGTAAAAATTCACTTGGTGGTAAAAGCTAAATGTTGGAATATATTCTATTATATAATATATACCTATAATTATAGATAATACATACTAATATATATATATATTATATATTAATAGCTTCCCCACACTATAGCTTAACCAACACACAGTAGTCCGAGGCCCTTGGCAGTCTGCATAGCCTC